AGTGCAGGGAGAGCGTGAAACGGCCAACCAGAGGGATGAAATTCTGGCAAATTCCGGGAGGCAGTGGTCAAGGTTGCAGGCAGGGAGCCGACTGATTGACTGCCACAGGCTTTCTGCTCCGCGCTGACTTGACATGCCATGACTCGCCGAGCCAACGAGGAGTAACGCTTTGGTTGCAGCTAAATATAAATAACGTGTTGAGAAATGGACTTGGCGGATGATATTGAGTGTTGGCGGGTTTGCTGGTTCTCCTCTGTGCGGATGGTATGGAGGGAGAGAGAGACTGCTTGCTCTAGGAAACTCTGATGGCGTGTGTAATGTGTCTGGCTGGGCTCAGCCAATCAGGGCCTGTACTATGCTGCCACTACCCCTCCCCCCCCAACCCCCTCCCCCCCAATCCCCCTCGTATGCCTGCACCAAAGTTACTCAGGTGAGTGTGTACTTGGGGAGGGAGGAGAAGCAGGAAAAGCCTGACATCCGGAGGCTAAAAAACCAGGAGAAGATTCCGCCAGCAGGGGGAGAAGCAGAAACGAAACGTTTCTTAGGTGCCTCAAACATTGTATGCACTGTACAAAATCTCATTCGCCCCCTTTTATTCACCCATGACTCCCCCCCCCATCTCTCCAGGTGAGTGTGTACCCAGCAACAGAGGAGAAGCAGGAGAACCCCGATTCCCGGAAGGTGAGGAACCGGGAGAAGTTCCGGCTGCAGAGGGAGAAGAGGCGGGCGCGCCTGGCAGCAGCGGAGGAGGCATTCATGTTTGCAGCCGGCTCGCCGCTCATCTCTATTGCCTCTGCTGCTCCTGATGCGGCTGTGGATGGTGACAGTGTTGTGTGCTAAGAAAAAAATGTAAAAGCCTGGTGACTATATTGCGTTATGAACACAATTTTTGCTCTCTGAATATATCTTCCCATCACTAGTATGAACTGTGAGGAGATTAGCTACAAATTCCGCTTTTACATCCAGTTTGCATAAACTCGGCATTCAGATATCCATCGAGCACTCGATACAAGAGGTTCCTATCGCGTACAAGCAAGTTGTACAAGCACGCGTCAACCCACCACCAACATCCCCTTCAACCCTTGAAAACCTCGTCCCCCTCCCCAAAGCCCTCCTTTTCTGCCGCGCTTTCGAGGCTGCCGCTTTAGGGTTTCGCCGCGTCTCTCCTCTCTCGTCCCGCCGTTTTTCGCGCTCTAGCGTCGGCTACCTTGCTTCCGGACGATCCGAACCCTCTTTCCGCACATCGCCTTCGTTTCCGTCCTCCTGTTGTGCTTTGCCTGGAATTCCTCTCCGTTCAGCTGACAGTTTCGCGACATCGCGTCAGAACCTCTCTGACTTCTCATCGATTGTAGTTAAAACGTCGTTTCGTTTTACACGCATCTCCAGTTGAAGGTTTGACGCAGGGTTCGACTTAAATTCGCTATGGAGGTAGACGCGCCTTCGCAGAACGCAGCGAAAACGGCGGCCCCGTCGGCAAATGCGCCGGCGGCCGGAAAACTACCGCCAAAGCCGAAATTCTCGGCGCTAACGGCGGCGGAAATGGGGGGAAGCAAGTTCGAGTTTCGCAAGATTCCCGTGCCGCCCCATCGGTACACTCCGCTCAAGGAACGGTGGATGGACATTTACACTCCGGTGTTCGAACAAATGAAGATCGACATTCGCATGAACCTCAAGGTGGGTGGAATGCGGTGGTGTGCAGTGGACGGACATCTACACTCTTGTATTCGAGCTGATTAAGATCAACATTCGCATGACCCTTGAAGTGCGTGCAGCGAAACGATAATAACCCGTTTTATTGAATCATTATCCGCTGAAGGACTGGTAGATGGACCTCCACACTCCCTCCCTCCCTCTTCCACACTCCCCCTCACCCCCCCCCCCCTCCCCCCCTCCCCCCCTCCCCCCCTCCCCCTCCCCCCGTCCCCCACCCCCCTTCTTCCCCCCTTCTCTCGTGTCCCCTTGCACCACCCGCCAGGCGCGCAAGGTGGAGCTGAAGACGCGGAGGGACACAGCGGACCCCTCCGCGCTGCAAAAGTGCGCCGACTTCGTGACGGCGTACATGATGGGGTTCACCCTCACGGACGCCATCGCCATGCTGCGCATCGATGACCTCTATATCGAGTCGTTCGAGATCAAGGTGGGGGGCGGGTGGGGATGAGGGTGGGAGGAGGGTGGGGATCAAGGTGGGAGGCCGTTGAGAGGGTGGGGATCAAGGTGGGATGTCGTTGAGAGGGAGGGGATCAAGGTGAGGGGCGGGTGCGGAGGGATGAAGGTGGGAGGAGGGTACAGAAGGTGAGAGGAGGTGAAGAAGGTGAGAGGAGTTGAAGAAGGTGAGAGGAGGTGAAGGAGAGAGGAGGTGAAGAAGGAGAGAGGAGGTGAAGAAGGAGAGAGGAGGTGAAGAAGGTGAGAGGAGGTGAAGAAGGAGAGAGGAGGTGAAGAAGGTGAGAGGAGGTGAAGAAGGTGAGAGAAGGTGAAGAAGGTGAGAGAAGGTGAAGAAGGTGAGAGGAGGTGAAGAAGGTGAGAGAATGTGAAAAAGGTGAGAGAAGGTGAAGTGGGTTAGAGACGTCTGAGAAGCTGAAGAGGGTGCAGAGCTGATGCTCAATCAATATCCTTTTGCCACGTGCCACTCATTCTCCCTCCTTTTCCCCATCTGTTCTCCACCCACATCCTTTTTCCTGTCCCGTTTCCTCTCCCATGTGTTCCTCACAGGATGTAAAAACGCTAAAAGGGGAGCACTTGTCTAGAGCGATCGGACGGCTGTCGGGTAAAAACGGCAAGACCAAGTTCACCATTGAGAACGCCACGCGGACACGTATCGTAATTGCTGATTCCAAAATCCACGTGCTCGGGGCGTATGCTAACATCCGCGTGGCGCGAGACGCGCTCTGCTCGCTCATTCTCGGGTCGCCAGCTGGCAAGGTGTACTCCAAGCTGAGAACAGTCGCGGCGAGGCTGTCGGAGAGATGATAACGGATGCCATATACTTGAATATAGTTGAGAATGTGTGGTGTTTGGCGTATTCTGTTGAAAAATGCAGCTGGGGTTATTTCAAAATGCATGCTTCGAGGGCAGGACCAATTTTTGAAGGGGGGTTTGTAATGTAAAGAAAATGTCTGTACAGAATTAACGAATCTATGGACCATCGTCTGCTTTTATCTGCTTTTGCAAACGCGCTTTCTAAAAAGCGGGGTTCTGGTGTACTTGCTGCAGCTCCGTTCAATGTCCATCATGGATTGCTTGACGACAAACTTCCGCCGCGCTGTCTAGCCAGCGGTTCCCTGTGGAGGATCCGACGGTCCAAGATGCACTGAACCAGGCTGGCTTCTGTGCAGAGGGCCCTTGTGTCAAACAGGCGCCCTTGTTTTTCATGCCGCACTGTTTGGTCGCCAGGCTGGAAGATTCAGAGGTCACGGTGGGTGGGCTGTCCTTGAGGATACCCGTAGTTTTCGCAGCAGTTATAATCCACACTGCCTAGATTTCCATACTGCGGCAGGTCGCTCTGTGGAACAAGACGCGGAAAATCTGGATTAGTGCTAGGAGTCTATGGAATCCATGATGTCATATATTTGGGAGTTCTGGACAGGAATTACGAACCTACTACGGGAGAATAGTCTTAGGTTCGGCAAAAATCAAAGCGACAACCTCGACGGCAATAAAGATGCACGCTCGGTTGATCTGATTCGAGTACTACAGAGTTCTTGTGCAGTTGTCACTTTCTCTCATTCTCAGTAATCGCGTTCTGACCAAAGTACAATTCAAATGGTCGTGATAGAATTTTCGTCGGCTTTATTTATACAGTTCACCGAATTCCATGGTCATAGAACAACCTGTAAGCTGGAAAAATCCGAGTATGTGGCGATGATGTAGTTGGGTGATTTCTGACTGCGCCAGTCCATACCCAGAATATATCAGCACGGGTGGACAAAAAGAAGCACAAAAATACTAGGGAGGTGAATGCATGAGACCAATACTAAGAGGGAGCCCAGAAATCCTGGCCGAAAGAATCAAGGCAAGCGCAAACGGATTGGAGAAGGATAGGACGAGAGCGGAGAGACAGAACATAGGATCCTGTCCGCCAGAGACATGCACGCTGTTTGTTGGGCAAGTGAAAGCGCAGGTGAGGGGAGGAGAAGGGAGGAGCAGAGGGGAGGGGAGGAGGGGAGGAGGGGAGGAGAGGAGTTCATTGCAGGAAAGAAAGTGGAGGTTGTGAGGAAGAGTGAGAGAAGTGCAGAACACCCAACCTAGAGAGTTTACGCAGGCGCCGGAGGGAGATGAGTGGATGGGTGAAGGTAGGGTAGGGTAGGGAGGACCATGACAGTGCGTCGACAAAATCTAGGCAATGAACGTCGCCATGCGATTTTACCCTCCCGTGCCTGGTTTCGAGCCAAGCCCTCCCGTTCCCGTTCCCGTCCCCGTTGGCTATCGAACAAGGCCGAAGTGTGGAGGTGCCTTCGATAGCTTCACCATCTTGATTGCGAGGTCGCAGCTCCACCAGTCTCACTAATCTAGATAGCCTGGTTAGTGACAGCTAAAGTAGCTAAGCTTTAGTATTCATTTCCCGCCTGCTAACCTGGAACCAGCTAGCTCGGTACTGCCTCAGTTACTGTGTCCTGGCTCGAAATCATGCAGTCAGAACCTCCGTAAGATAGTCGGCTGGCGGAAGGGTGTTGCTTTTTTTGCAACCTGGAAGCAGCTGTAGCGATTGTTACCTGTTTGAAGTATCTGATTTCGCCTCCATTATTTGATACTCATTCAAGATCACGCAGCGTGATTAGAATCTAATGACGACCTAATCTCACCGTCCGCATCGGTCCAGCGCAATTGAGCAGCAGGAGAGCCACACTCGTCGTCCCGGCCGATTCCCTCAGCTCTTTTTGCCAATTCGCGGACCTGATTTCACAAACTGGTTTTTCGCGCACGTTCCCGTCGCCACTGCAAGGGTTAACTGGCCTCATATTAGGTCAAGGAGCGAATTCTGAAGATTGTCCAGGCGATTAAGGATGGGTAGAGTGTCAAGGCGCGACAGACTCCCGCCTAAAGAGCCTGTTATTCTCTTCACATTCGCATCGTCCCTCACTCCTAGCGCGTGGGACGCGGCGGGAGATGCGGTGGAGAACGCGCCGGGCCAGGCGCCTGCGCATCCCGACAAAGATCGCGAGACGCAGCTCGTGTATTACATCGGCATCGCGCGAGGGCCGTCTATTCTCGTTGATTTCGGGCGGCACAGGAAGATTTTGCGAAGCGCCGTCTCTGCCGTGCTGGCAGACGCTCCTAAACACTGTAGCACATACTCTTTGGTGAGGCGTCAACGGGAAACGTTTTTTTCTTTCATACTTTTTCTTTGTGTCGACCGAGCAACATAAGTATGCTACCCCGCAGGTGCTCTCCACCTGATAATCAAAATGTAGCCGTTTAGGAGAGTAAAAATTGCTCGTCTTCCTTTTAGGAGTGAGAAGTGAGCATTCTCTGCCTCTTCTACGTTGGTATTATCCTCGATCCGTAACTTCTCGTGGTCTAGCGACCCACTCCTACATAATTTACAGACTTCAAAGAGTCGTCGAGTCTTTATCATTGTGTCCGTCGTTTCGTCAGTCCACCACAAACCCTAGTTTGGTCTGCCTATAGAAAAATCATAGGGCCACGAAATGAAGATGTATTCTTGCTCATAACCCTCTTCAGGGTTTGAGAAAGAAAGAAGAAGTCGTCCAGACAAGGCGTGGAAGCTGAATCCGTTCTCTCCTTCAATCTCCACCGCTCATTCCTCCCCTTCACCCTCCCATCAGGGCGACGGTCGCACCAACCTCTTCCTCTCTTTCAGTCAGGGCCCAATCGCCTTCGCCGTCGCGGACGACGCTTTGGGCAGCTGCAGTGCCTGCGAGACCCATTTCCCACTCCCCTTAAGCTGCTGCTCCCCTTTTCACTCCCCCCCTCTCCCCTCCCCCCCCCTCTGCTCCTTCCCTCTTCCCTCGCCTGCTCCCAACAACAGGGCTACGGCCGCACGAACCACGTCCTCTCCTTCGGTCAGGGTCTGATCGCCTTCGCTGTCGCAGATGACGCTCTAGACCGCTGCAGGGCCTTCCAGACCCATTTCCCGCTCCCTAAGCTGCTCCCCTTTTCACTCCCCCCCTCTCCCCTCTTACCCCCCCCTCCTCTCTGCTCCTTCCCTCTTCCCTCACCTGTTCCCAACAGGGCTACGGCCGCACGAACCTCTTCCTCTCCTTCGGTCAGGGCCTCATCGCCTTCGCTGTCGCTGACGACACTTTGGATCGCAACAGAGCCTTCCAGATTCTGTCGCAGCTTCGAGCCACCGTCATCCACACTCTCTCGCACACGCTCTCGCCGCACGCCCCCTCGCTCCCGCACCCCCGCTCGCACTCGCGGGCCGCTCTCGCCGCCGCGAACGCGCTCCGCCAGCCGCCGCAAAGACCAGTAACCGCCCCTCCCGCGAGCAAGTGCAACTGTGTAACGGTTACATGTCTGCCGGAGCGTACGGACGCGCCCGTGTCAACCACGCTTCCCGCAGCAGCACAGGACGGCGAGACACCAGCCACGGCAGCAGCTACCCCCCTCAGTAGCGCGACTATCGCCAACACAGACACAGTTAAGACTGACTCGACCGCCATTACCACCAGCAGCAGCAGCAGCAGCAGCAGCAGCAGCAGCAGTAACGCGTTTCCGTCTGGCCGATCGGCCAAAATGTCTCGCTCTCTATCCGCGCATTTCGCGCCGACCTTCCTCGCGGATTGCCTTGAAGCCACCTTCAAGGAGGTGGTTCGATCCGCTAAAGGCCGCCTCCGTAAGCGCACAGTGCTGCAACTGTACCCCGACGCTCCGCACGCGTATCTCGTGAATAAAAAGAACATGCTCGAGCCGGATATTCTGGACCCGTTAGAAGCCGGCGGAAACGGAGCCAGCAGAAGGCTTGTAACGCGTACAGGCGCGTCGGAACACAGCAGCAGCGGCAGCTCTGGTGGGAATCTCAGCCGGAGCGGGAGAGAAGGAGCGGGAGGAGCAGGGGGAGCGGGAGGAAGCTTCCCGGGCGGGAGGGAGAACCTTCTTAGCTCGCAAGTGAGCGCGAGAGAGTCCCTAATGAGCGAGCTTTCTGATATGATGGCGGATTTCGAAGTGGGCGATTTCGGGGAGAAGCTCGTCGTGTCGCGCTCCGGGCGAGACGATGAATACGTGGACGATGATGAGTGGTACAGGCAGACGCGCGGGCAACCCCCCATGATGACCACCAATGCGCGCGGCCTCGGAATTGGTTCCGGACGAGGGCTAGGGTTAGGGTCTGGTGCGGGAGCGGGAGGGGGAAGAGGAGGCGGAGGCGGAGGGGGAGGCGGAAGGGGAGGCGGAAGGGGAGACGGAGGGGGAGGGGGGATGGGGAACAGTCCGCTGCTGGATTTCGTGGCGCATGCGCGGGGGGCGGGGATGCTCCCGTCGCACTCGCACTCCGCCGTGTTCGCGCCCATGGGCGCCCGCTCCGCGTCCCTTGGGGTGTCCTCTGGTGTGTCCGCTGGTGTGAGTCAAACGCCCCCCTTGGTGCCCCCGGAATATGCGGGGCTCGTTCCTATCAGGTCGGGAGGAGGAGCGGCAGGCATAGGGGTGGGGAGGGCGAGAGGGATGGGAGGAAGGGTGGAAGGAGGGGCCGTGTTGAGTGAGGCTTCTGCAGAGGGCGAGGCGTGGGAGCAGCAGAGGGAGCGGAGAGGAGAGGGCAGCGGCGAGACACAATCAGGAGCAGCAGCAGGAGCAGCAGGAGTAGAAGCTTCCGGGCAGGTTCTGCAGTCTCAGGTGTCTCTGTGCCCTGACGGTTACGTCAGCTCCCTAGGGCCTGTTCCCGAAGCTGCTCGGCACAATATCTCCCTCTCCCACACAGAACCCTCGTCAGACCTTACCACAGTGGTTCCAGATTTTCACCTGAACCCTCACCTGACAGGGCACCTGACGGAACACCTGCCAGGGCACGTGGCAGCAGGGAGGCCGGGAGCAGGCATGGGGCGGAAGCTAGGGGAAGGACACAGGCGCATGGGGGGGAGTGAGGGCGCCCTTGGCGTGCTTGACACTAGCGCCCTGGAAGGCAATGTTCCAAACAGCAGCGGCTTTACAAGCAGCGGTTTTGGGAACAGCGGTTTTGAGGGTAGCGGTTTTGGAAGGAGCAGCGGGGAAGCAGGGACAGCAGGGATGGGTGCACGTGGCAATGAGGGGTTTTATCCCCCTGGTGGTGCTGCTGGGTTTCCCCCTGCAGGGTTTTCGCCTGCAGGGTTTTCGCCAGTTGCTGCTGGGGGTGACGTTGGGAATAGCGTAGGCAATTTCTTGTTCAGTACCAGTTTCAATGCGAGTACTGGCAGCAGCAGCGGTGGCATTGGCAGTGTTGGGAGCAGCAGCAATCCGTTTGAAGAGGCAGCCAATCGGATCAAAAGCCAGAGATCCGAGTTTGATAGCCTCTTTCCGCCGCAATCACCAGCAGAGGATATAGAGGAGGACGAGGAATTCGACCGGACCGCCCTCACCGGACCTGCAGGTTCGGGCGGGAAGGAGTACGTCCGGGCGCAGGCTCGGCATCAGGCTCGGGAGTGGGGAACGATGCGCATGCGGCTGAAATCGGGGCAGATGTCTCCGATGCTCAAAGGGGCTTTAAGTGTGTTTAGGAGTCCGACTGTGCAGGAGAAAACGACAGGGGGGATGCGGCCGGCCACTGCCGCCCGCATTTCGGCTTTAACTGCTGGAGGGGGTGGGGGGGTGAGAGGGGATGAGAAGTGGAGTGCTGGGCTGAAGCCTTTATGGGCTTCGTTTAAGAAGGGGGCGAGTGGGAAGGAGAAGGAGGGGGGCAGTGGGAAGGAGCGATAAGGGAAGGAGTGGGAATTTACTTTCTCCCTTCTTTCTATGGAAATTTTCATTGGATGTGTCAATATACACGTACACATTTGTATGTGCACGTAATAGGCTAGGTTGGGTTGTGTGTAAAGGGTATATACTCCAACATACACCCCCCTGTAAGCCCTCATCTAGCCATTCTTTGAGGGGTGGGCTCCACCCAAGCTCCCTATCTTTGGGAACATTCCGCCCAGGACACTTTCTTTGAGAAAGTGGCCGAATCACTTGTGACGTGTACTTACAGCATATGCTGCCAGCCAGGTGTCAGAATGCCGGACCGCACGTGAATGTCGCCAAACGTATTTATCATTGGATGACGTGAAATACGGAACAGTCGCGCGCTAATTGCACGCCAACGCAACACATTACAGCCATCGCATGCGGTGCCAAATGTCAATCCATGCTGCATGTATCTGGCCATCATTCTTCATACACGGCTATCCTCGTCAACGCGTACAATGCAGCGTGATTGGTCGACAGGACTCACACGGAATTATTGACAAGCCCGCACACTTCCCGCCTGCGCACCTTCCCCCCAGGTCCATTACACTTTCCCCCAAACTCCTTCTCCTCCAAACACATTACGGGCTCATGGCATGTCCCGCTTTCCTCTTGTTTCAAACAATCCTCCTCTCTTTGCTCTCCGTCCCATCATATCTAGATCTAGAAAAACCCTCCCCGCCGTCATGCCTCGTAAGCGTAAGGGCCAGGCCCTTAACGACTGCCCCAAGGACCTCAATGACATCCCTTACATCCACTGGATGAACCAGCAGATCGCAAACGGCCGTCATCCGACCGGCTTATCCGCGCCGCCCGCACTTGACGGGCAGGGCTCTAGTGCACAATCGCCCCGCGCGGGTCCGTCACGTGTGCGCCGTCATCCTACAAGGACCGCCGCAACAGTTCGGCCTGTCGCGGAGCAAGTTGTAGACGACGATGATGAGGAGTACCGCGGCGAGGCCGTCGGCACCGACGACGAGGATGACGATCCGGAAGATCTTGGGATGTCGGACGACGACGAAGGCGACGAGGACGACGCCGACGACGACGCGGAGGAGGAAGTGCAACATGTGACACAGCCGCCGAAACGGAGCGCCGCACGCGCGTCTGGCGCTGACAAGCGCAAAGGCAAGGCGGTTGCACCGGAGCCACGACAGGAGCCCCGGAAGAAGCGGTCGACTGCACCAGTCGAGAAGAGCATGTGGTCGGACAAGGAGAGCACCATCTTCGTCGCGGCGCGATGGTTCACCAAAGACGAATTGCAGCCTCTCAAGGGGAAGCAGGGGACGCAATACTGGGTACGCCTTCTCGCGCACATCAAGGAGTCGAACCCGGATTGGTGCCGGAATGTCAACGCGTTGCAAAAGGAGTGGCGGAACTTGATGCTGCTTTGGAAGGAGTACAAGCGAGGTGATGGTGGTTCGGGCAACGGTTCTGTGGAGAAACCGCCGTGGTGGCCATATATGGAGCTCTACAACAAGGACACCGCCGCAGCCGAACCGCATGCGGTGGACGGCGGCGGCGCCACGAACGTCAATGTGGAGGCCGACATGGAGGTTCCAAGTTCCTCTCAGCCCGGCACTTCTACACCGACCTTTACAGGTGAGTGGTGGTTCTTTTTCCGCATGCGCGTTTCGTGGTCATTACGTAAACGTTTTATGACGGTCTGGATGTTAACATGCATCTACTATAGACACCTCATACAATACGCAATGTACTAATCACACCTGGTGTGCAATGTTGCATTTCTGTCACAGCACCGCCGCAAGCCACTGCTACACCTAAGCGCGCGCGGGTTCATGAGACGGTGACTATGCAAGCCGCCATGATTGTCTCCGCGACCATCAAAGACTATCACGGTGACGCGATGACGCGCATCGAGGGGCTCGTCCGTGAATGGATGGCGTAGGATGTGCGCCTTGCCCGCGAGCGCATGACTGAATCCGCTCCACCACATGTGCAGCGTGGAACGACGGATTTCATCCCTCCTCCGCCACGCGGGGAGTCTGCACCACCTCCCGATCGCCGTGCGGCCGACGCTGTTGGAGGCGATGCCGGCCAGCAGCGCGACGATGTTGGCGACGTCAACACCGTCACTCCGGGTGATGACGATGTGGAGATATGGGTGCGCGGCGCGGATGATTAGTGTAAGAATCTTGTAGAGCTTCTTCTAGTCTCTTCCGTCTTTCTCTCAGAGCCGGCTGCGTCGCGGGTACGCACGGTTCCCACTTGTGATGTGCGATGGCACCCCTTGTCCACCATGGGTCGCGGTTGCGGGGCAGATTGAACCAGGCCATGTTCATTCGCCTAACCTCTACCATGTATTCGCACATGTTGTGCAGGATCACGCAACAAGCGGCCCCTGCAAGAATGCGCCATAACCTGCAGTCGTTGCGCCCGTTGAAGAGGCGCTATCTTCCTTTGAAGGCGCCGATGCACCTTTCTACAGCCATGCGCGTAGCGCTCTGGCAGTAGTTGAAACACTGGGCCCAATCGTCCATTAGGTCCTCTCCGCGCGGGGCATGCAGTGGGGTTAGGTAGTATTCTCTTAGCGGGTATGCCGCATCCCCAACAATCTGGTATGGGGCTATGTCCCCAACAAACACGTTGGTCGTGCGCGCTGCCGGGGTAACCGATGAGGTAATCCCATATTCTTCCACGGGCATCACACGTGATTTGAAGCTGTACGGCATAGGCCGATTTTCTTGTCCAATACTCGGTCCGGTGCCCCTCCATCCCTTTCATGTTGATGTGAGTCCCGTCTACAGCCCCCACTACTGCAGGTACACCTTTGATGGCAGCAAATTCCCTCGCCATTTCCGGAAGTTCATCTCGAGAGGGGAAGCGCACCCAGGCGGCTTTGAGCACGGCAGGGAACTCGGTGAGGAAGACATCGACGAGCTCGTGGCAGAGTGTCTTGGAGATACCGAAAAGGTATGACATGTCGACGTAGGAGATCCCGCTTGCAATATATTTTATTGGGATGAGCAACGCAGTGTCCATCGTAATCCTGGTGCGATTGACGACCGGTTCTAGACATTGGCGCATGCCCGTCTTGATGTGCTCAAGGATGGCGCGGTTGATTCTGAATATGTCTTGGAAATCTTTCTCCCGCATATGTTGCAGGTCTTCTACCCACAGCGCATGGCGATACCGTACTCTCGCTCTGTGACGGCGATTATCCCCGGTATCATCCCCAAGAGATGTGGACTGCTCGTCCGCGTCTTCGAGTACACCGGCCTCTATCATGCCGACGAAGGATTTGGCTACATTTTCGTAAAAGATTGTGTAGTAGTAGGTGACCCAGGCGACAAGAAGGCGTAGGATAAAGGGGATGGCCCTTTGTTCTGCCATTGTGCGTAGTTTATGCGTGTGTAATGGCTCTAGTTGTGCTCTGTTTGGTTTATGTTGAGCATATAGGTGATGTCGTGGTGGTGTTGTAATTCGAGTTGTGGCAATTATTGGGGGGTGCGGAGGACTTCGTACCCCTCCGAGTCCTCCCCTGAGACCCCGCAGTTTCTATTGCGGGCCTTGCAGTGTTGGTGCGTGTGACGCGGAAGATGAGTGGGCCACCCACTGCAATGACCAATCGTGGTCGGTCACAAATAATTGTCGCGCGGTCGTGCAGAGTCGCAATACATTGATAGATTGGGACATGAGGTTCCGAGACATTCGAGGGCGACTCGGGGAAAAAGAGATTCGGACACTTTCTTTGAGAAAGTGTCCAGAGCGGAATGTTGTAGCAGAGCCTACTACTACAGCGGAGGCCGCAGCTGCCGCTGCCCCTTCTGGTGGGCGAGGCTGATGCAGGGTAGTCGTAGTCGTGGAGGAGGTGGACGTGCTGGTACGTCGGAGGGTTCTGACACTGGGATTGCTGGTCCTAGGGATGCTCCCGTTGGAGGTGTTGGTACTGCGGGAGTGGCGGTGACTCCGCAGCAGCAACAACATATCCAATTGTGTCTCTCAGCGGTAGTAGGGACCTGCGGGCTCGGGAAGCGTTGACTGCGGTGGTGGGTCTTGTCAGGATAGGAAAACAGAAATGATGTGACTACGCAGGAAATCTGTTACAAGTACTTACCCTAACAAGGGTTGTACCCCATAGGGAGTAACCCACTACAGCCTAACAATGTACGTTTGGGGAACAACAAGAGGTCACAAGACCGGTCAAGAGAAGCAATCAAAGTAAAGCTCATGGTGGATCTCAAGATCACCACACAGTCCGAGCACAAGCAAGTGGCCACAAGGCCAGTTCACATGCAGAGTTTATAATAGCAATTGCAGTACACTGATCACAACCTAGCAAGTGTAAACATGCAGTTATAATAATATAGAACATAGTACAACAAGTGCAAGGCAAGATCAAGAGACAAGCACGTGAGGCAAAGAGGGCACAAGCCCAAGAGCAGTGCAGAAACGCAGATGATCACCAGACCCGAGGGCCTTGGTGAAGACATCACCAGTGTTGGCCTGTGAGGCCACGTACGAAAGGCGAAGCTGACCACACTGTTGCAACTCTCGTGCGAGGAAGTAACGAAGCGCAATGTGCTTCGTTCTGTGCTCCAATCTCTGGTCCTGACACAAGGCAATCATGGCCTTGTTGTCGACATACAGAACTGGAGGAGAACAAGGCCGCTCACCCAAGTCGGTCAGCAGGTAGGTCAGCCAGCGGAGCTCCTGTGCAGCCATAGCCCCAGCGTAGATCTCGGCCTCACTGTTGGAACTACGTACAGAAGACGAGCGAGTGGACCTCCACGAGACAGAACCAGTGCCGAGGCTGAAACTGTAACCCTGTGTCGACCGGTGAGTCGCCTGGTCGTCAGCCCAAGAAGCGTCTGAGTGACCAGTGAGAACAACTGGACCCCGTCCCTCAAGCACAAGCCCCAAGCCTGATGTACTGCACAAGTAACGCAGTACCCTCTGTGCAGCAGTCCAGTGCTCCTTCCAGTGAGCAAGGAGGCTGAGAGGGTACGCGAGGTCAGCTTGTGTGCACGTCATCAGGTACATGAGGCAACCCACAAGCTCTGGGTACGGACCACTCGGCTCTACGGACTCGTTCAAAGGTGGAGCTGAGAGCGAGTGGCCGGTAGACAGAGGACTGGACTGTGGCGAGGACCACGTGAAGTCGAAACGCTGAAGGACCTGCTGCACCATGTGTGACTGAGTGAGGGTGATGGTGCGGCGTGCTCTGTCCCGGGTGATCTGCAAGCCAAGATAGCTCCGCAACTCACCCAGGTCAGTGTAGGTGTGTCTCTCCTGCAGCTCCGCCTTCACTAAGTCCAGAGCCTCAGTGTCAGCAGTAGCAAAAACCAAGTCGTCAACGTACACGAGAACGTCGAATGGCGGCAGAGAAGTATCTGTGCGTAGAAACAGCGAAGGGTCAGCAGTCGAGGGAGCGAAGCCAAGAGCCGCAAGTGTAGTCCTCAGTGTGTCGTGCCACTCACGGGGCGCCTGTCGTAGGCCATAGACTGGTCGCCGCATACTCCACTGGGTACCCTCAGGAAAAGACCCAGTGAAGCCACGTGGGCGGCGCACCTAGATAGCCTCGTGAAGGCGGCCCTGCAGGAAGGCTGTCGAGAAGTCGAGGGAGTGCAGCTCGTAGTCGCGCTGTGCTGCAACGTGCAGTAGCACCCGAAGAGTGGTCATCTTCAGGGTGGGGGAGAAGGTATGGAAGAAGTCGACCCCCTCACTCTGACTGAAGCCTCGTGCAACGTAACGCGCCTTGAAGGCAGGCGGAGAACCCGGCGGCCGCTTCACCCTGAAAATCCACATGCCATCGTATATGTTCGCCCCAGATGGGGGAACCGGGCGACATAGGTGCCTATGGACTTCCAGGAAGCCATCTCTGCGTCCATGGATATCTGCCACTTAGAGGAGTACGGACCCGTGATCGCCTCTGCGTAAGTGCGCGGGGTCGGGATGTCCAGTGCATCCAGGTCTCCCTCAGGGCAAAGTAGCGTGGACGCGAGATGAGGTGCAGCGGCCGCTAAGCACTCCAGCTCAAACTGCCTGTCCTCAAGAACGTCACAGCCAAGGGCAAGCTCACCCCTGACGGACGGAGGACAGGAAGAGTAAAAAACAAGACTCGCAGCGTAATCAAGGCGGCACAAAGCAGCAAAGTCAACAAGCTCAGCAACTAAGGCAGACGCAGCAGCAGACTCAAAGGAAGGGTCAGTCACAACTGTGGCAAGGAGACGAGTGACAGTCGGACTGGCAGCACGGACAAGGTCAGACTCAGGGTCAGGAACGTGCGGAAGAGAGGACGCGGGAGGCTCACGCAGGACAACACGCTTTGGAATAGAGGAAGGACGGAGCGGAGTGTCATATCGTGAGTGCCTGGCACAGCCGGAGCACGAGGACGACGAACACGACGAACACGAGCAGGGACAGAAGCTCTAGTCTCAGGCTCTCGACACTCAGGAGTGGAAGCACGAGTCTCAGGCTCTCGACGCTCAGTTAGGGACTCTGTCACCGCAGTGTAAGGAGCAGGAGCAGGCAGCGTGGAGTCAGGCAGTAGCTGTGGCTGAGACTGGTCTGTCAGTGGGAACAGTAACGGAGGAGTAGTACCAGCGACAGGGAACTCAGTAACAGCAGGTGGGAGACTGAGCAGGTGACGAAGCGCAGACTGCTGCGACTGAGTAGTCGCACCCCCAGAACCTCCAGCTCTAGTAGCAACAGCACCCCCAGAACCAATACCTCCAGCTCCACCACCGGGACTGCCCCAACGGACAGCCCACTCGCGAAGCTGCTGTGGCGAGAGCGACTCCTGCCGACTAGCACCAGCAACTCCAGTACCTCCAGTAGCACTTCCAGTGTCAGTACCGCCAGTACCCCCAACTCGCGGAACAATGGCACTAGCACCTACAGGGCCAGCACCTCCATTACCTCCAGCAGGACCTGTGCCTCCAGTACCAGTACCTCTAGCACGGCCAACTCCAGGAACACCAGTACTAGCACCTCCAGGGCCAGCACCTTTAGTACCTCCAGCAGCACCTGTGCCTCCAGAACTAGTACCTCCAGCACGTTCAACTCCAGGAACACCAGCACTAGCACCTCCAGGGCCAGCACCTCCAGAACCTGCAGCTCCAGCACGTCCAGCGCCACCACCAGGTTTGCCCCAACGGACAGCCCACTCGCGAAGTCGCTCCG